ACGACCAGTCTGCCAAGCTTAGCACAAACCACCAAACATCATCCGACGCATAGCCTAAGGCTTCACGACGATCAGTAGGCTCAGTAGCTTCGACATCTTCCAGCTATACACACTAACCCCCGTCGGCATGAATTTCCGCACCCTCCGCAGTTCGTGGCACTCGACCTGGTGTTCACACATGAACCCCTGCAGCAGCTCGTCCCTCTCTCCGGCGCACACCTCGCCCCACATCTGCCGCAGTGCGAGCTGCTAGCTGACAGACTGACGCAGCTGCCCGCGCAGCAGCTTCGTCCCGACTTGCAGCGGTTTCCGCAGCCCCCGCAGTTGCGGGAGTCCGTACGAAGATTGGCGCACGACGTGCTGCAGCAGGCCTGACCGTACGGACAACCACGTCGACAACCTTGAGTACCGTCGCCCACTCCGCAGGATCGGCGGCAACTGCCATTACAGCACTGCAGTCGGCGCCCGCAGCTTCGCCCGCACCCTCCGCAGTTGCTCCGATCGGTCCGCACATCTCGGCACACACCGCGGCAGCATGAAAACCCACGTCTGCAGGCTGGGCGGCAGCCTCCATACGAACCATACCAAGCGGTTAGGGATCGTGCGGTAGCTGACCCCTTCTCCCCAGATACACCTGCAGCTACCAACCCTTGCTTCGCTACGACCTTCTCCTCCTCCTCCTCCTTCATGTCAGCCATCGCAAAGACCGCCACCGAGCAGATCACCATCACCGCAACTCCTTTGATGACAGGAGAGAACGAAACTCCTTTGCCCCCCATTCTCTCCCTCCCTCTCTCTCTCTGTCTCTCTCTCTCTCTCTCTCTCTCTCTGTGGACTGTGTGTGTGTGTGTGCGGAAGGGGGGGGAGGGGGAGGGGGAGGGGGAGGGGGTGGGGGTGCCGAAACGGATGGATTGGGAGATGGTGTATGACGGGAAAGAGAGAGTTACTCTGACGGTTAAGTGTAGTTGTGATCGCTTGCAGGAGAGAGAGGATAGAGGAGAAAGCAGAGTTGCAATGGCTTCCGTCTTCCCACGTAGCATACACCTCAAAGCAGCTATGGCTTCCGTCGTCCTCGTACTACCTGATGTGCACACCGTCAACGGCTCCGTGCGGCGAGCTCTCTCCAGGAGTGGCATATCAACCCCTCTATGGGCCTCGTTCCACACCACTACAATCAGCAAACTGGCTGCGATTTTATCTAGTACGTGTCGGTCCCACACTTGCTGTACTTGCTGAATTGCAGGCCCGAGTTCTAACTCGACTACAGGCACATTTTAGTGAGCTACCAGACTTCTGAAGTACCTACTAGGGCGGTCAGTTCGATGATGATAACTCAACGCCGTCGCCCTCAAAATCCAGTCAAAAAGCACCTCAGAAAGTCTTTTCCTTTTTTTTTTTTTTTTTTTTTTGGGGACCTCAGAAAATCTCCCCGTCCGTTTTCAAAAAAAAAAAAAAACAGCAAATCTCCCCGTCAGAAGAGGGTGAAAAGAGGGGGGGGGGAAAAGAAAATAAACAAAATCTCCCCGTCTTCATCCATATAGAATGCCCCCTCATTTCACGTGTAGCTCGAAATACAGGGCCTCGCCACACCACTCTCCAAATGTGAAAAAGAGAAACAATTGGAGGGCGCATCTGGTCATGTTCTAGCGGAAAGTCCATTTAATGTTTGCACATTTCGACAGTGCTGCGGCGACGCCCACAGTAACAGCTAGCTATATAACGGGGCTGGCTGCACTACTCTCGAAATGTGCAAAACGAGAGTGACTCTTCCGCTAGAATATGGAAAGATACACGGCCATGATTTTTGTCTTTTGTGCATTTCAAGAGTAGTGCAGCAAGGCCCAAAGAGTACTAATGACGGGTCGTTCTGTTCTTTTTTTTTTTTTTTTTTTGAAGGGGGCGTTCTGTTCGATGGAGGCGGGCGGGGCGGTAGTGTGAAGTCGTTGCTCATAAAGCTTTGACCGGCAGTGACATGTTTTTTTTTTTTTTTTTTTTTTTTTATCAAACCCTCATTTCTCGTGGGTCTCGTACGAACAGTGGGATAGGAGCCTTGCAAAAGGGACAGCCAGGCTGCGGCCAGACTGGCGTAGGGGAGGCGCCTGAGCGCTCAATGCGTGTCGCCTTGGTCTACATTAGGGTTAAACCCCAAAGCAGCGGATCTTCTACACCATGGCTGGGGTTCTCTCCTCATGCCTGGTGGAAGCGAGTAGGGGTGTGCAGAGAATGGCTTTCTGCCACGACCTAGGAGCGAGAGGTGGTCTTATTAAACCCTAAAGCAGCGGAGCTTCTACACCATGGCTGGGGTTCTCTCCTCATGCCTGGTCGAAGCGAGTAGGGGTGTGCACAGAATGGCTTTATGCCGCGACCTAGGAGTGAGAAGTGGTCGGCTAGCCACAAGTACGATGACATCATACCGGTCCCTTCCTCCATGCTGGCAGTGCAGAGCACCTGTCTCTTATACACATCTAGATGTGTATAAGAGACAGGCCTAAGGCAGCGGAGCTTCTACACCATGGCTGGGGTTCTCTCCTCATGCCTGGTCGAAGCGAGTAGGGGTGTGCACAGAATGGCTTTATGCCGCGACCTAGGAGTGAGAAGTGGTCGGCTAGCCACAAGTACGATGACATCATACCGGTCCCTTCCTCCATGCTGGCAGTGCAGAGCACCATAGGAGCTACAGGGCACCTGCCCAGCCCAGGCGTCACTGGCGTGGAGCTTAACGACAGTGACAAGGTGCCTACAGAGCTACAGAGTGTTGAATACACTCAACCTACGAACTGAAGAACGCCATCTGGCTACAATCAAATTGAACTCTATCTGTCTTATGGTTGTTATCGTGTCGCCATAAGGCCCAATGAACACATACTTATGGACTTGCGGCCACGAAGTGCTTCCAATGGGACCTTATCTGAACACTCTCTGACCTGAAGAGGGCGACAAGAAGCGCCCTTCCCATGAAACTAGGGAGTTGCACAGTGTAGCCTTTCTGAATGGCTTGTATGCTCTTGCCTGTCTCTTCCTTAGGAGACGCTTGAAGCATAAGAGCAATGGTCGGCCACACAGGAGAGACAAGTTTCAAGTGAAGCAGGGATCAAGACAAGCTTCAGTTCTGCATTCAAATCAAACAGCGTTCTATTGATGAACAAGGCTGCTTTCATGCCCAGATTGATTTCTGTAAACGGACTCATGTGATTTGCTGCTTGTTTGGTGCAGAGTATGTCAGATCAGCAATATTCCTGTTAGTCGATGGTCTGTTGGTGGTTCGAATCACCTTTCTTGATGTAGTTATTGACTGTAACCCTCGATGGTGATCTTCATCTTTGTCACAAGTATTGGTGATCTTGATCTTTGTCACAAGTATTGATCCCGAACCACGTGTAAAGGAGAAATGTGGAGTTACATTGAGATCAAGCTGTGCAATAGCAAGGTTATTTTTTTTTGGGGGGGGGGAGGAGAGAGAGAGAGAGAGAGAGAGAGAGAGAGAGAGAGAGAGAGAGAGAGAGTTCAGTCTTGCTGTCCAGCAGAATGAACCGTGCGCAGGACGGGGAAGAGGGGAGCGAATAAGGAGCCCTGACTTAGCAGACCTGAAAAAAATAAAAATAAAAATGTTTGAATAAATTGTAGCGGACCCACCAGGTGTGGTGCTCCGCTAGTGGTAGAGATGGAGATGGAGGAAGAAGGGGGAGCAAGATGACGCACAGCGCAGCTCCCACGCAGAACTCCAACGCACGTACTCCAGAAATGTGCAAGTGAAGAATGAGCCTGAAAACAGACAATGGTTGGGTATACCCCAGCGGACTGACGGGACTGGACTGGACTGGCTGGTACCGACAGAGGTACCGGCCTGGACTGGCCTACCCCGAATACAACACAGGCCTGTGAGAACAGGCCAAGGGGCTGGTCTCACAGGCCAACCCGAGGKCCGCTACACGATCCTCGGCCTGTGATGGATCGCCTAGATACAAACATGCTTCCGCCAAGAAGCGGAACTCTACCAAAGAAAAGAAAACCTGAGTAGTCTAGGATGCGGAGCAAGCTCCATGCTGAGTCCATGCGATGCGACCTAGGATATAAAATGTCACAAAACAGCAATGTCACAGCTAACAGCCTAAGTGAAAGCAGAAGCAACTAACTAACATATATGTCCTAGGAAAGCAAAAGCAACTAACTAGCATACATGTCCTAGGAAAGCAGAAATTAGTGACAACTAGATCCTAGAATATTGGAGGCACTAGCCTCACTCTGGTAACAACTGACTAGTGTATAAGTCCTAAGAACAGCAAAAGCAGAACAACTAAATCCTAGAAATGTCCGAGGCAGTAGCCTCAGTCTGAGAGCAACAAAGCAATCAACAAGACAACCATGTGTCACATGAGAAGTGTGTCGCAAACCAAAGGGTGGGATGGTCTCTGAGGGTGGCGAATGCAGCCTAGGGGTCGAAAACTCCTAAGGGCATCCACACATAGTGACAGGGGAAAACACATGTCATCAGGCTCAATGAGGGTAGGGAACTGGGAGCGAACAGAACCAATGACCCTAACAGATAGACCATCAGGGCGGGTAATGCTCGACTAAGGGGTGACCGCTATGGAGGGTCGACCATGCAAGGGAACAAGGGAGCCTGGTATACTAGGCGCACCTATATGAAGCATGCGGGGCTGCCTAACTAGGGCGTGAGGGTCCGCGAAGGGTAGAAAGATGATGGTTAAGGGAATCATGCAAATGACTCCTAAAGTGAGGGAAGTCGGAGCTAGATCCGTAAGATGGGAAGCCAGGGCAACGCTGCGGTCCCGATGCCTATGCGTATACCAAGGGAGAGCCCAACTCAAAGGAACCCGGCTAAAGGGAGACCATCATGCGACACAAGCAGGGTACTGTACATGGTAAAGTGGTAAGAGAGAGGCGACGTCTGAAGTAGGCAGAGCTGATCGTGACGAAGTCCATGAAGCTGTCGATGACGTCCACGATGAGAAGTCCGGAATGTCGTCAAGGAAGAGCCGCAACGTCGATAAGCCGAAGTAGCAAAACTGGAGTGGATGGAGTACTGAGAAGTCAAGGACGTGGGAAGGTAAGTCAGAGTCAATCGTCGTATCGAGCAGGACGACGACGAGTGCGCTGTGGACGSTCAGAAGCATCCGGCTGCTGCTGAAGGTTTGCCTCAGATGGAGTAGGCTCGACTTCAGCGGTCTCCTCAGCCGGAGGAGAAGGAGGAGGGTCAGTGGGTTGAGAAGGAGCAGTGAACCCAGCACAACGAGCACGGTCATAGGCACGCACCAACATGCGAGCGTGCTGCAAGTGCTCGAGGGGCTCCCAGGTGGCCTCCTCATCAGGGTAACCCGTCCAACGTACGAGATACTCGACGTGAGGAGGGTTGTCGTCGGTGACTCGGCGACTAATGATGTCTGAAACGAGGAATTCCTCGTGGTCGTCCACCATGAGGGGTGGAGGGCGCTCGTATGGTCGTCCAACGAAACGCTCAGACGGTCTGCGGTAAGGACGTAGTAACGAGACATGGTAGACATCATGCACACGAGCCTGGCGTAGGTAGTCGGGCAGCTTCACACGAAAGCTGACCGGGCTAAATGCCGTATCAGAACCGACGGCCTGGACGATGCCGCATGGGTCAAAGAAGCGACGTCGAAACTTGCGAAGCGTGTCCGCTTCGAGCTGTAAGTGGCGGGCGTCGATAAGCACATCATCACCGACTTTGAATGGATGGTCCATCCTCGATCGGTTCACACTTGCACCCATGTGAGTCAGGGAAGCGGCTATGTGCTCATGTGCGGTCTTCATGATCGACATCATGTGAGCAACCCAATCATCCAGCGCGGGACAACTCGTGTTGGGGTGCATTTGTGACAGTCGAAGAAAGTCCACGGGAACACGAGGGTGATAGCCGAGGTCGCAATAGTAAAGCAACATCCCCGTGGCTGACGAGACGGCGTGGTTGTAGGCTATCTCCGCATGGGCAAGATGAAGATTCCACTGTTGGTCGTCACGAACAATCTTTCGAAGAATATCTCTGAGAGTCTTGTTCGTGATCTTGGTCTGACCATCAGTCTGAGGATGGTAAGACGAGGAGAAGCGGAGCTGAGTGCCGTATATCTCGTGGAACCGTCGCCAGAATCGGCTGGTAAAGCGCGGGTCACGGTCAGATATGATGCTCAGAGGTAAGCCGTGGTCACGCACGACTCGGTCAAACACGATGTCGGCGACCTCACGTGCACTGATGGCATAGCGGCACGGAACAAAACGTGCATGCTTCGTGAAGCGATCGACGACGACCAGGATAACATCATGACCGCGAGGGGTCGGAGGACGAAGGGGACCAATAAAGTCCATCGAGATGGACTGCCAACGACCCTCAGGGATAGGAAGAGGCTGGAGCAAACCATAAGGCAAGTGGTTCGCACTGTTCACCTCCTGACAAGTGGGACACTCTGCGACGTAGTCCTTCACAAAGTCCTTGCGCTTTGGCCAGACGTACAGGCGGCTCACACGAGCCAACGTCTTGTGGAAGCCCATATAACCGGCGGCTGCCTGGTCATGGAACTCTGCTACTGCTCGGACACGCAGCTGTCTAGTGGAGGGAACGCAAATACGGAATCTCTGGTGCCCTATGAACCGTGCCAGTACACAAGACCGTTGTCCCCGAGAGAGTAGTTCGGGACGGTCTTGCCACTCCGAAGGGTCGTGTGGATGTCGCGATAGTCGGGGCAGTGGCGGTACTGAGTGCGAAACTCGTCGATCACCGAGTGGTGGACGGTGGTGACCGAGATGGAAGAGAGCTGGATGTGCTCCTGGTCGTGGTCAGGGCGCCGGGATAGGGCAACTGCGACCCGATTAGTTTCACCCTTGATGTGCTCAGTGGTGAAACTAAACTCGGATAGGTCGCGCCACCATCGAGCTTGTCGAGGAGTGAGCTTCGGCTTAGTCAGAAAAGCCTGGACAACAGAGTTGTCCGTGCGCACCGTGAATGGTGCCCCGTGCAGGTAGTGACGCCAGTGTCGAGAAGTATAAACTACTATGAGAACCTCGCGATCATCAGCAGTGTAGTTTATCTCGGCGGGCAGGAGCTGACGGGAGTAGAAGGCTATCACACAATCACCTGAGCGAGACTCGACAGTGCCGTCCTCGGCGATGGTAGGAGAATAGTCAATAGAAGGCTCGTCAGTAGCTGGACGAGTAGGCGTCAGTTGGGAAGCAGTGGTAGGGGTAGGTGGTGGGAAGCGAGGGATATGAGGATGAGAGGAATCAGGAGATGAGGGGGAGACCTGAGAAAGCACTGCTCCTACAGCGAAGTCTGACGCATCGGTGGTAAGGATAAAAGGGCGGTCAAAATCGGGTAGGTGAAGAACCGGTGCGCATGTCACCGCCTTCTTGAGGGCGCGGAAGGCGTCCTTGTGGAGGGGTGTCCAAGCCCAGGGTGGGTTCTTCCGGAGGAGGTTGGAGGTAAGGACGTAGGAATACCTAGCGTATCCCCGGATGAAGTTACTATAGTAGATGGTCAGGCCTAGGATGCTGCGAAGCTGCTTGGCGGATGTGGGAGCGGGCCACTCCGCAATAGGAGTGATCTTCGCGTCGTCCATGTGGAGACCCTGGTCAGACACGTAGTGTCCTAAGAAATCCACTTTGTGCTGGGCAAAGCGGCACTTGCTYAGCTTGGCGTAGAAGCCATGTCTGCGCAAGCGGTCAAGGACGTCGCGGAGGTGTTTGAGGTGCTCCTCAAGGGTACGACTATAAACCAGGATATCATCGAGGTAGACGAGAACGTACTGCTCCAAGATGTCCCTGAAGATATCATTCATCGCGCTCTGGAAGGTAGCGGGTGCGTTGGTGAGGCCGAATGGCATCAACGTGAACTCGTAGTGGTCGAATCGTGATCGGAACGCGGTCTTTTGCTGGTCGGCTGCAGCGACGCGGATCTGATGGTAACCGCTACGAAGATCAATCTTCGTAAAGAAGCGGTTGCCTGCAAGGCGGTCGAACAGCTCATCGGAACGAGGCATGGGGTGGCTGTTCTTAACCGTGTAGCGGTTGAGGCCGCGGTAGTCGATGCAGAGATGAAGAGTTCCATCCGCTTTGCGAGCAAAGAGGACGCGTGCACCCCACGGGGAGTTGCTGGGTTTAATGAAACCCAGTCTTAGGAGCTCCTCAAGCTAACGCTTGAGTTCGGTGGCCTCGGGGATCGAGAGTCTGTAGGGTGCCTGGTGGTGAACACGATAGTCAGGCACGAGCTGAATGGAGTGCTCGACGTCACGCATCGATGGGATGCCGGCGTACGAGAACGACGATGAGAAAACTTAGTGGTACTCTCGGATGAGGTCACGAACTGCGGGCTCCAGGTCCGCCGTATATCGTGCGAGTTCCTCAGCGTCAGCGTCAGCGCGCGACGGCGGGGTGGACTTGACGGACGACGGAGGGACGGAAGTAGAGATGGGAGCCATGGAGATAAAGGGAGGATCTGGCTCCAGAGGGATGAGCTCGGCGTCGGGACAGGGCGGATCATAGTGTAAGAGATCCGTCACGTCCACCATAAAGAAGGTGACGTCGTCCTGTCGAATGAAGTGAGCCAACTGCCGAGGCGAGATGATCGTGATAGAGGGAGATGATGTGGGCACTGAAGGCTCCGGGAGAGGAGGATCGGGGCGTGGTGTCGTCGTGGTACCTATGAAAGGTACGCGATTCGTCTGTCCACACTTCGTTTTGAGAACGAGAGTATTGGTTGCCCAATCGGCATCGGTGCTGCGGAACCGACAAGACCACGGAGTGCCGAGAATGAAGTCGAACCACGTCTCCATCACATCGAAATGTGCAAAGGAGCGGTGGCGACGAGACGCCGAGGAGCGATCAGTCGGCTCGAGAGTGAGGAAGAAGGGGAGGTTGGTGACCGTCTGATCGAAGAAGCGCTGGGTCTTGTCATCCCCTAGGGTAACGGAGATGGGAGTCGGAGACCCTGTCGTGGGTAAGCGGGCTTCCTTCACCACACGTGGGTGAATGAAGTCGCCCTGAGAACCGGAGTCCCACAGCGCTGAGTACACCCTCGTGAAGGTCCTGAGTCGTACTGGGATGATCGGGGGGGTGCGATGAGGGTCAAAGAGGATGGCGAGAAGGCGAGGCAGTGCAACGACATGGAGGGTGAGTCGCTCCTGACGAGCCTGGAGCATGCTCAAGTCCAAAAGAGAGGACACAACGTCCTCGCGAGTAGCAAGCTGCTCGCTGCAACGGGCTGAGTGAATGGCTCGACGCGTCGGTAGCCGCGGCGGGTAAGGAGGGGAGATGGTGGTCTGCGGAGGCGCATACGATACTGCGACAGAGGGCTGAGTACACTCTGTCGAGTCCTACGATACCTCAACTCCAGTAGCAAAGGGGCGAACCGCGACGGAGATGTCGGAAAACCCACTACTGAGGAGGGCGCGGGTGTACACTGCACCGTGGTAAGGAGGCGTTCGCGGGGACGTGAGGCGCCGGGGGGGGACTGAGCACGACGCTGACGAGAAAGGTCAACGTAGTGGCGGTCGAGGGCGGTAGTGTAAGGGCACCGCGAGGAGGTATGACCGTCCAAGCGACAACGGAAACACCCTTGCCGGCCCAGAATAGCCGCGCGCTCCTCAGCGGAAAGGACACAACGAGGAGGGATGAAGCCCTGAGGGAGGTCCTCTTGAGGGACCTTGGGGGGCGACGTGCCAGCGTGACCGGGGCGACTGCGTGCCCGAGAGAGAGCAGAGAGTGCAAGCTGAAGGCGCTCAGCTGCAGGGAGGGTAGAGTCCTCCAAGTGATAGTGGACGGCCTCGCAGAGATCGAGGTCGTCGCTGTGGTCGCCCTCAGGTGACAGTGGGGCAACAGCGTCCTGCTCACCATACTCCAGCGCGCCCTGCTGCGTGGAACGGCGGGGGAGAACACGGAAAGGGGAACGGCGCTGGGAAGTGCCATGAGAGGAGGAGGAGGCATAGCCCGTGCGCTGGGGCTGGAAGGAGGAGGCGGGGTGAAGACAGGCTCGCTTCCGTTGGTGGTTCCTGGCGGCCTTGTAAGCCTGTGGGGCCGATGTGAACTCGTACCGCCATAGCTCGAAGCGGTACTTGAGCGGAAGGCTGGCCAAGAAACAATCGATAAGGGCAGCCTCGGGGAGGAACGCCACGTCGCAAACGAGGCGGGCGTCCTGAAAGACCTGGATATGGCGATCCAGTCCGGCAGCGCTACCAGAGCCAGACCAGCGTGTAGTGACGACACGCTCGAAGGCGTCAGTCACGTCGTATCGGGCTCCGAAGCGATCCTCGAGGAACGCCTGGAAATCCACGAAGGTCGGAGTTCGACCCTCACGAAGGGAGTAGGCATAGGAATCCTCCCAGACCTCGAAAGGACCGCCACGCAGGCGCGTGGAGAGGTGACCCACCCACGTCTCGGGTGTGGCGCCCATGAGCAAGAGTGTGAGGGTGGCAGACTGCAGCCACCGAGACACACATATGCCTGTACCGTCATACAAGGCAATGTCCGACAAGCGGATGAGTGGGGCGCCACCGTTTTGGCGGCGAGGGGATCGAGGAGCGGAGGCCTGTGCCACGGCTGAGTAAGTCGGCGCAGGTCTTAGAGAAAGGGGTGCAGCTGATTGTGCACCCGGGCCGCATGGGGGAGCGGCGGTGGCAACAGCGGCAGGCTGCGAGGGTGCTGCGGTAGAAGAGGTCGCAGCAACCGCGGGAGTAGGAAGAAGGTAGGAAGGAGTTGTATAGGGTGCAGGGCGCGAAAAGCGAGCCTGCATGGGAGGAAGGGTAGAGGAGGTAGGGGGTGCGCCCGAAGGCGCGGCCACCTGTGAGGGTGGAGGTGGCTAAAGGCGTAAGAGGGCGAGGTCGGCCCGGAGCTGGGCAATCTCGTCCGCGAGACCTCGAACGTAGGTCGATCGAGGGGTGGCAGGAGGAAGAGTGGAGGGGGTGGACGCACAAGCGGCGCGGGGCATCCCAGAGGGGGGAGAGCCAGGTGGTGCTGCGGTCGTGCGAAGGGGAGGGTGAAGTGGGGCACCCGGAAAAGTTGAGACCATGGTAGCGGGTTGTTGTACCGTGCCCGTAGTGACCGGGATCTGGGCGGGTGCGCCCGTAGACTAAGGGGGGGCCTGGCTCGTGGCGACCGTCGTGCTAGGGGCGTGGACAGTCACCAAGATGGCCGGGTCAGGGGCAACGGAGGAGGAAGTTCCGCTGTGGCCACCCTGTCGGGGGACGGGGGACCCGGACTGGGAGCCAGGAGATGACGGACACGCAGCGTCCTGGAGTTGCTGCATGCCGGCGGCAAGGGTCACCACCTGTGCCTGTAAGGGCGCGAGGGTCGCGAGTTGCGTCTGGATGGGCGCAAGGGTCGCGAGTTGCGCCTGGATGGGCGCAAGGAGGGAGGTGAGGAGGGTGTGTAGATCCCCCTGGGACTGATGTCCCTGGTCCGCCGGCACGGGTGTGGAGCCCGATGCCGTGGTCATCGCCGTGTCGGCGGCGTGTGACGCACCGTCGGCCATGGGGRGATRACGGACCGGACTGGAGGGGGCCAGAAGAGGTCCGCGTGAGCGGAGGGCGTAGGGGGAAGTCCGTGGTAGAAAGCGGCGAACGGCGCTAGCAAGGCTAGCACGGGCGCTGTCAAAGGGGGAGGGGTGGTTCGGGTCCAGGGTGCCCGAAGAGGACGAGGAAGTAGGGGGGTTTTGAGGAACCCTAAACCCTACATAAACCCTAAGAAAACCCTAACCGAGGTTTAAGTGGTTAGGGTAGGGTACCGGTGACCTAATCAAGAAAGTAAAATAGCAACCATAGGGGGAGAGGGACGAAAGAAAAATAAATAAACAGCGAGATTTCGAGAGAAAATAAAAAGTAAATAAGAAAATAAATAAATAATAAAAATAATTAAAGAAATAAGTAAAGAGATGTGAAGCGAAACAATATTTATTTTTTTGAAATTTTCTGCAGCATTTCCCTACCCCCCACGGGGTCAAGAATGTGCCAAGGGAAAAGGAGAGACCAAGGTGAGCACACTAGGGATGCCGCAAATAATATAAAAAAAAAGAAATTTCAGAAAATAAATAAAAAAATAATGAATAAATAAATAAGTAAATAAGTGTGTGAGGAGGTGGGGAGAAATGGGTTATCTGATTTTT